AAAAACCCCCCCCCCCCCCACACACACACACAGTTGTTCAAAGGTACAAAAAAATGTAGATTTGCAGTTTCCAAGAACACTCAACCTTTGGATGTCACCAAATATTGGCTGTCATACTCTCGCTAATTTCACCTCTGACACCAGGCGACCACACACACACACATACACACACTCACACACATATACACACACTCACACACACACTTACACACATACACACACACTCACACACATATACACACACTCACACACATACACACACACTCACTCACACACATACACACACACACACACACACACACACACACACACACTCACACACATACACACACACTCACACACATACACACACAAAACCCTTTAAGTCACCTATATCTCGACTTCCATTTTGAAAAATGGGTATTGTTTCCATCAAGAGCAAAGCAAACAAACAAACAGACTTTAAGATGATATCAATAACTCCAAAGGCCCAAACTACAAAGAGAGCCTGACGTCACCACATCGAGACACAAATTGTTTAAGCATGAAGACGTGGAACTAATTGTCCGTTCGTGAATTTCCCCCTAGGACACTAATTTGACTCGCTTTGCTTTTACCTTTATGTAGGAAGAGTTCGCTGGGTTCACCTCAAGGAAGGGGGGTCTTTCGTGACTTATTTTCTGTGAGACAGCGTGGTGGAATCAGGCTCTCGTCAATTTTTGGGCATGTAGAGTTATTGGTATCATCTTAAAGCGTGTTCACTTGTCTTTATTTGGTTGGGAAAAAATATCAATTTATCTTTAATACAATTCGAGATATTTGCGAATGAAGGAGGTGGGGGTCCCCTGTTTTCAGAGGTAAAATTAGTGAGAAAATGGCCATCAAAGATTAGTTATTTCCTTAGCTTAAGAGTCCGTTGTAACAGATAATTTACATTTTTTGGGTGCCTTTAATCAACGTTTTTCAGAAAAAATCCTTACAGAAATGAGTTCTTTAATGAGCATGAAAGGTGTTGAGCCAAAAAACTAAATTTTAATAAAAATTCACAAACCTGTGGAAAAATGCAAGTTTCTTCACTTTGATTATTTTGACGAGAGCCTGATTCCACCATGATACCTCACATATCATTGTAGTAGGACTTTGACCATTTCCCCGTTCTTCACAGCTATTTGTAGCGAGGCAGAATCATTCCAATACGGTGTCATTTTTTAAAAGAGACAATGAAATGTCGACGCAGTTTTCTCAACTTTCGTAAAATTAAAGCATATCATATCAACAATCATTGGGGTAAACATAGAAGTTCTTTGTACTTGATGATTGTGTGGGGATACATTACGTTCTAGTTCTCCTGTTGTCTGACCTTATCCCACTCTTTATTTAATGTAGATGTTTTATCCCCCTCTCCCCCCACCCCC